TACCTCCATGGGAGTCCTTTCATAAACCACCTGTGCACGTGTGTGCTCAGTGAGGCCGAGCGCATCAGGTTTGGGGAGCGTCCTTGGGCTGACTGTGCCCGCGGTGGTCTGTCGGTGACCCCCACCTGTCTCTGCAGACCTACCTGACTGTGTGCAAAGATGTTGTCATGGTCGGCCTGGGAGGCCCCGAGTTCCAGATGCGGCTTTTACAGCGGAGTCTCGGCATCATGCAGACAGGTACGTGCCCTTCACCACCGAAGGCTCCAGACCGGGCCTCCCGCTCTGCCTGTCCTTTCCGTGTGGTCAGGGCTCTGGCTGCTGCGTGACGGATGGTGAAATGCTAACCAGCTGGTTCCAGGGTGGGGATTTACTGGCTGGCGTGCAGCAAGAGCGAGGTGGTTCTGGCGCCTCATGGTCACAGGGAGCTGCCTCTCCCCGGGGTCCACGTCACCGTGCGAACTTCCACACAGTGGCCTGTGGCCGCTCCTGGTGTCTTGAAGGAGACCTGGGAGAAGAGCCAGGTGGGTCTGCCTTGCCGCAGGCTCTGTGCTGGGGGTGGGCGAGCTGTCAGACTCCACTGTGCCTCGGGACATGCCACCCTCAAGGACAGGGTGACCCAGGACAGCGCACGACACCCGCGGGCCTCGTGCCCACATTTACAGCTGCCTACGTGCTGAATTCAGAGTGTTCGGGGGAGGCAACCCAGGCGCAGGGCTGAGGCAGTTCTGGAGGCCCAGGGCAGGTGATGGCAAGGCAATGTGGAGTGGAGGCCCAGGGGCATGTGGACTGGCCAGGCCTCCTGAACCTGCCAGCAGAGCTGCGACCCCCACCACCCACACCCTCACCCTCCCGCCAGCCGCCACCCACACCACCTCTGGACTGTGGCCTCGGGCGCTGTTGGCCCTGTCCGGGTTCCTACACTCCCACGACTGCATCTGGGTCTTCCTGCGTCTGCGGAGGCCTTGATACTTGAGACCCACATTGTCTTAAGCCTACGTGTGTGCTAGAAGAGAGTAAAAATCAGACCACTTAGTAAAGCGGGTCGTCAGTTTTGAAAAGTGGATTCACTAAGGCTGTAGTTCAGTTTACAGTAAATTCACCTGTCTTTTCTATTTTTTGTTTAGATTTTTGCTATAGGGTGTGTGCATCCACTGGAGAGATAGAGAAAAAGCAAGAAATCGCCCCTGCAGGGGATGGCTGTGCTGCATTCCCTTCTCTTCTCACGATTTTGGGCACTTACGCACATGTACCAAGTGTGAGTTTCAAGCCACCAGGTCTGGATCGTAAACTGTGGTCGACCACATGGGAGTCCAGCGCCTTAACCGCTCCGCCACCCGCTGGCCCCATCACACCTTAGTCGTCAGCGTCTCCTCACGGACCCCACAGTTCTTTCCTTGGCCACGGCAGACGTGGGGCTTTGATGGCTCTGGAGCTGCTGCGTTCTCCAGTCAGTCTTTAGTTAGAAGCAAGACTGTGCTTTGTTTCCTGGGCCAGCGAGTTGCATGATGGTGAAGGTGGCTGGATCTCACACGGCCGACTCAAAGTGTGAGTCCCGGACTAGAGGCTTGAAAATCATGCTGGGCATGTGACTGTGCATGTCCAGAAGCCTGAGAGGCGAGTGGAGAAGAGATTGCAGCGTGGCCTCCCCCTGGTGCTTTCCCACCTCCCCTCCGTCTCTCTGCAGTGAGTGTACACACCATGTAACGAATTGAAAAAAGATTGTTATTTGTTTAGAATTTATAGAGTTAGAAGTGAGATGTTAGATAGAATTAGTATTACCTATTTTGAAGTCTAGCCTTTCCTTTTTAATTCTTTCTAACTTTCTGTTGCCAAAGTGGCCTTTTAACCTTCATCTTATTAAACGTGACACAGGCCTGGCCTCGGTGGCCCTGGCGGTCCTATTCCGAACCGCAGTACTGGACACACACGGCTGACCGTGGGCTCAGGTTCCCGCAGGCCCGAGAACATGCCCAGTGTGCACACACACAGAACCCTTCGGCGCTGGGGAGCTGGCGGGAGGGGGTCATGGCATGACGAGATTCTGTTGGCGTAGCCTGTCTATCTCTGGCTAACATGCGTGTGCTCTCTGATCGAGACAGTCAAAACAATGTTTAAGTTTATTTCTTCTGCAGGAGAGAGGACGGGAGGAAGAAAGGGAGAAGTCCTCACAGGGTCTTCACGCTTTGGTCTGCCCCAGCCAGGATCAGAGCACGCGTGTGCCAGGCAGGGTGTGCTGGGAGGCCCGGCGCTGGCTCGAGCTCTGCGGAGCGAGTGGCACTGCTGCGCCGCCGCAGCTGGCCTGCATTTGGTTCCTTGTTTTCTTTCTTTTAAGTGTTTTTATCGTACAGCGTGTGCACTCACCAGAGAGAGAGGGGGAAAGCGAGAAAACACTGCCCGGGGTAGGGGATGCGGGGTGGCCATGCCATAGTCCCTTTTCCTCCATTCTCAGGATTTGGGGCATGCACACCACGCCCAGCGTGACTTTCAAGCCACCAGGCTCGAGGCCCGACCTACGGCTGGCCATC